CAAATTCTTTATATTAGATTCTCTCTGTTGAAATAACTAGTTTTTCTGATTAGCTTTCAACAGACACAACTATGGAACAGAAATTTAATAGTATTCAGAATTCAAAAATCTTAATACAAAAATCATTCTTACTTGCATGGTTAAGTCCACGTACCATTTATCGATAGAGAAGAAAGAAAAAAAAGTGTAAAAACTTGCATTATGGCTTCTTTTTTTTTTAGATGGAGTCTTGCTCTGTCACCCACGCTGGAGTACAGCGGCGCAATCTCGGCTCACTGCAACCTCCACGTCCCGGTTTCAAGCAATTCTCCTGCCTCAGCTTCCCAAGTAGTTGGGATTACAGAAGCACACCCCACCACACCTGGCTAATTCATTATTTTTAGTTTTAGTAGAGATGGGGTTTCACGATGTTGGCCAGACTGGTCTTGAAATCCTGACCTCAGGCCCACCTCGGCTTCCCAAAGTGCTGGGATTAGAGTCGTGAGCCACTGCACCCAGCCTATTATGGCTTTTTAAAGAGGAAAAAAAATTTTCTTAAAAACCTGTGACAAGTTATTTGAAAGTGACTTGTACTTTGTTGTTGGATTAATGTCTTTACCTTTATGAGTACAGCTACAAATACAAAGAACATAAACATGCTTTCTATGCTTTTAAATGCTGTCTTTTAACCGACTTTTCATAGCTTTAATGTTGCAGCCAATTGGTAAGGCACTTGTTTAATAGTTTATTGTACCTAAGACATTAAACAAGGGTACTAAGTACTTTTCCTAACTTGGCAAATTTGAAGATGTGCAGCACTGGGTAGCTGGATCATGTGCTAAAAACAATGACACCTCTGTTTTCAATTTCAGTGCTAGAAAGAAAACAGTGCCTGTTTTTAACATGGAAAAAGAGCGTGTGTCAGCTAGGATAGTGAAACTAGTTTATAAATACAAATTTCCTGGCATGGAATTATTATGAAGCATAGCACTTGGATACTGGCTTTTATGTAAGAAACACAGTAGGGGGGAAATCCACCTTAGATTCTTTGGTAAAACAAATGCCAAGATGAATGTACCATCACAAAGATGAGGGGGAGAAAACTGAATATACTAATGTAACAGCATCCAAAACGCAAATTTTCCGGACCCTGGAGTTGCCTGAAGATAACTCTTGAATGATCTAACAACATGATTAGCTTAGTATCTATTCATGGGTTTTTATATTCAGAGCAAATATTAAGAGATTCTTATAGCCAAGACAAGTGTGAGAAACTATGCTTTTAAAAAAAAAATTAGAGAAATCGAAACTCAGTGAGCTAAAGGAAAATATAGCTCAGGTGAGATATGAGTATCTTAATGTATAATGATGGCACTACCTAGTTCACAGTGTGCATGCAGTGGATGTATACAGTGGTAAAAACTGCACCCTGCACAATAAATAGCTCCTGACAGAGGGGGCAGAGTAGATACTGAAATGCAGCCCATGCTTTGCAGGCCATGTGCATTTCTACACTTGATGAAAAAGGGCTCTTTCCTAATTTGTCTGATGGGCGAGTGGCAGTGGGCGGGTGGGGGTGGGGGAAGGGAGGGGGTGCAGTTTTCTATTTCACAGAAAGGCACCTACAGACTTGCCCTGGGGGCTGGGATAAGAATGAAATGCACATTCATGAATTTACTAGGAGACAATTGGCAAAATGAGGTGACTCACTACAAGAGAAAGAACTGCAAGTGCCTTCCAGTTTCTAGCTTATTTACTTTCAGGAAGTATTTAAAAATAAGTTGGACAATCTGAAGTGCTTATGGTTGATCAAGATGATGGGTACAGGCCAACTGACTCTGACGCACTAAAGACACTGGATTTAAAAATCTAAAGGTTCATCTAGTTCAACTTTTTTTACTTTCATTTGAAAGTAACTTGTACCTTGTTGTTGGATTAATATCTTTACCTTCACAATGTGTTTATAGCTACAAATACAAAGAACACAAACATGCTTTCTGTGCTTTTTAATGCTGTTTTTTAACTGACTTTTGAAGTTTCACAGATTTAATACTGCAGTCAACTGGTAAGACCCAGAAAAACACCCAGAAAAATTGTAACCTTCAGTTCAGTATGCTAAATCCCTAAGTTGTTTCAAGTCCTATTTTATTAGGCTAGTGGTTCTCAAACTTAAGAGTGTATCATAATCACCTGGAAAGCTTGTCAAAACAAAGACTGCTGAGGTCCATTCCTAGAGTTTCAGTAGAGAAGATCTGAGGTGAAGCCCAAGGATCTGTATTTCTAACAGGGTTCCAGGTTATACTGACACTGCTAGTCAGGGGATCACATTTTTGAGACCCAATATGGTAGACTTAGAATCTGTGAGCTCCCTAAAGGGGTGTCTATCTGAGAAAGACTTCCAGGCCTAAAATAATGCTGGGTAGGCAGGAGCTGCTTAATGCTTAACAGGTGAGATATTACGTTAATATCATAAATATTAAATGTAAAAACAAATATAAATACATTATACACTTGGGATGTCAAGTTCTCTTCCTTCCTATCATAGTTTAATACCTAGGTTAATGAAGCCATTGGAAATCAAGCTCTTCATAAAGAGAAAAGGTCAATTATTTGGTTAACAACTTTATACCTAGTTAACAAATTCTTTATATTAAATTCTCTCTGTTGACGGCTGGGTGCAGTGGCTCATACCTGTAATCCCAACACTTTGGGATGCAGAGGCGGGTGGATCACCTGAGGTCAGGAGTTCGAGACCAGCCTGACCAACATGGAGAAACCCACTCTCTACTAAAAAATACAAAATTAACCAGGCATAGGGCGCATGCCTGTAATCCCAGCAACTCTGGGAGGCTGAGGCAGGAGAATTGCTTGAACCCGGGAAGCAGAGGTTGTGGTGAGATCGCACCATTGCACTCCAGCCTGGGCAATAAGAGTGAAACTCCATCTCAAAATAATAATAGTCATTATTATGATTCTCTGTTGAAATAACCAGTTTGATATTTTGATTAGAACCCAACAGACACAACTGTCCATAGATATAACATTTCAACCATCTTTCCTCTTATCGCCTATAAATCCTTAGACTAAAAGCTAACCAAACAATTCATACCCTGTGGGTAACAGCAGGTTTTGCTTCCAAACACGTGTGTTCGATCCCAACCATGCTACTTTCTGGCAACCATCAACGGTGCTGGATTGGTGTGAAGATTCAACTAAGTTAGTGCCAATACCACACTGCCTGGTTAAAACACAAGCACTAAGTATAAGCACTAAACCATTCCTCTTTGTACATCTCTTCATCAGGAATATTCTCCATTCCAATCTCTGACAGAGATTGTAACATACCCACTTCCTACTGAAAATTCTTGTTCATTCTTCAATAGTGAAGTGCTAGATAGTCCCTCTTCTTACATATCTTTAATCACCCCATTTTGTGTGCTTCTTATATAAGTGTGTACAGTCTTCATATTTAACTTTTTTTAAAAAAAACCACCTTTATTGAGATACAAGTTGCACACAAAAGGCAACATTTTGAGTATAAATTGTGACTGATTTTGACAAATTTATACATTCATTTTTCCCACTAAAATCTAGATTTAAAGAGTCACCCCAAAGAAGTCTGTGGTGCCTGCTCCCTGTTAATTTCCCCTAAACCACCCCAGGCAACAATTATTTAGCTTTCTCTCAGTACAGATCAAAATGATCATTTCTAGAATTTCTTATTGAATTTTTATTTTTTGAGACAGTGTCTCACTCTGTCTCCCAAGTTGGAGTGCATTGGCGTGATCTCGGCTCACTGCAAGCTCTGCCTCCCAGGTTCGTGCCATTCTCCCGCTTCAGGCCCTGGGGTAGATGGGACTATAGGAGCCCGCCACCATGCCTGGCTAATTTTTTTGTAGTTTTAGTAGAGATGGGGTTTCACCGTGTTAGCCAGGATGGTCTCCATCTCCTGACCTCGTGATCTGCCCGCCTCGGCCTCCCAAAGTGCTAGGATTACAGGCGTGAGCCACCATGCGCGGCCTAGAATTTCAAATAAAGGTATCACAAAGTTTATGCTCTTTGTGTTACGCATCTTTTCCTCAGAATATTTTCTGTAAGCAATTTTACTATAGCTTAATTTATATACAACTAAGTGAATCCATTTGGAGTGGTCAACTCAACGAGTTTTGACAGCTGTATACACCTCTGAAACAACATTAATCAAATACTGACCATTTCCATCAACTCTAAAAGATTCTTTGTGCCCCTTCTAAGTCCATCCCCCTTTATACATAATATATTCTTTTGTATTTGGCTTCTTTGACTTAGCATGATTTTAAGATTTACCCATGCTGTGTCTATCAGTTCACTCCTTTGCATTGCTGAAAATTATTCTATTGTAGTCACGTGCTGCGTAATGATGTTTCAGTCAACAATGAAACACATATACAATGGGGGTTCGATAAAATTACATTGGAGCTGAAAAATCTGTTTGATTGGTCTAGTGACATCTCGATGATCCTGATCCTGGGTAGGCCCTAGGTTAATGTGTGATTGCGTTTCAGTTTTTAACAAAAAGGTTTTAAAGGTAAAAAAATAAAAATTATTTTTTTTTCTATTACTAATAGATCTTAGTAATACTTAAAACAATTACTTTGCTAAATCAATTATAATTGCTTTTTTTTTTTTTAGCTCCTCCAGATCTAAAAAATCTGAGTAGATTTTTTTAACTTAAAAGTAACAAGTAACCAGTAATGCAGTTAAAAAAAAAAAAAAAAAACCTTTGGAATCAGAAATGCCTGATTTGAGTACTGTATCAGTTCTACCACTCACAAATTAGCTGTGAACAAGTACATAATTATCCCAATATTAGTTTTCTTATCCATGAAGTAGGAAAATACAAATAATAAGAGTACCCGACCCCTTTCCTCAGCTGTCGCGAAGGTGCTCCGTCCTTCCGAGTAAGCTAAGGCCGCACTGGAGTGAGGGCCTCACTTCATCCGGCGACTAGCACCGCGTCCGGCAGCGCCAGCTCCACACTTGCCTGCGCTATGGCCTCCATCTCCGAGCTCGCCTGCATCTACTCGGCCCTCATTCTGCATGACGATGAGGTGACCGTCACGGAGGATAAGATCAATGCCCTCATTAAAGCAGCTGATGTGAATGTTGAACCTTTTTGGCCTGGCTTGTTTGCAAAGGCCCTGGCCAATGTCAACACTGGGAGCCTCATCTGCAGTGTCGGGGCTGGTGGACCTGCTCCAGCAGCTGGTGCTGCACCAGCAGGAGGTCCTGCTCCCTCCACTGCTGCTGCTCCAACTGAGGAGAAGAAAGTGGAAGCAAAGAAAGAAGAATCCGAGGAGTCTGATGATGACATGGGCTTTGGTCTTTTTGACTAAATCTCTTTTATAACGTGTTCAATAAAAAAGCTGAACTTTAAAAAAAAAAAAAAGAGTACCCAACTTGCAAGGTTGTGTGATAATTAAATTAGCGGATCTTTTTAAAAGCAATACAACACACTCATTCTAATGCAATGCATGAGCTGCTAACTAAATCTAGCTGTTGACTAACAAAAACTTAAATTTGCAATTCACAAGTAGGATCAAGAATAAAATAATAGTCATGATTGATGGGGCATTTTCTCAATGTCTCAGAAAAAGAAATGCAGTGAAATACCATTTTTACCATCAGAAAAGACACAAATTTTCAAAATATGTTTTCTGTTCCTCTTTACCTACACTCTACTTCCCAGGAAAAATGTAGCAGTTAAGTGATGCTAGTGGACAATACAGGCTGACAAGTAGGGTCAACCAATTTGCTAATATTAATACCCAATGCAAATCATGATATAATTATATAAAAGAATGTGTACAGGTTCTGAATAGTCAGTGCTGTGCTATAGAGATTATGTCTGTTAAACAATGCAGCAGTCTAAAGTAGGTGGGTGTCCATATCGTCCAGTTTATTCCTGGCCTTCTAGTCAACTTCTTAGCAGACAACCATCTATAATTTATTTAAAGAAACAGGAATTTCTAGGCTGGGCAGTAGCTCATGCCTATAATCCCAGCACTTCGGGCAGCCAAGGAGGGCAGACTGCTTGAGCTCAAGAGTTCGAGACCAGCCTGGGCAACAGAGGGAGACCTCCATCTCTGCAAAAACTACGACAAAAAACAGCTGGGCGTGATGGCATGCACCCATAGTCCCAGCTACTTGTGGAGCTGAGGTGGGAAGACTGCTTGAGCCCAGGATGTCGAGACTGCAGTGAGCTGACATCATGCCACTGTACTCCAGCCCGGGTGACAAAGACGCTGTCTCAAAAAAAAAAAAAAGAAAGAAACAGGAATTTCTGGTGTCTAAAAATTATTTGTTCCATGTTGCCGTTTTAACCCAAATGCTGAGTTTATGATAAAACTGACCAAAACAAACCACCCCCCCACCCCGCAAAAAGCTGACAGCACAGTATTTTTCAAAGGTACTGATAAAGGAGTATGTCTGAGTCGTGTGACTGTCCTACTCTCCACCCTGATACATTAGTAAAGAGAAAATAAGACACACAGACAACCTTATTTTCTCATACATTCTCAAATATACTCATCCCTGTCCCCATGCAAAAGGTTCTCAAAGTAACTGCTAATTTTCTCAAATACTCAATCTTACATAATGATATTCCAATTTAACCTATTATGTAAAAAGACAATTTTAAAGTTCTAGTTCAGCCACATTTATATGTGAATTACACACAACATTTAAGGTCAGCTATAAAATCAAACCCTTAAATGCTTGCCTCAAAAAATGCTTTTTCACCCATGTTGTGGGGGAAAAAATTATTTTTATTTTTGAGACAGAGTCTTGCTCTGTCATCCAGGCTGGACTGCAGTGGTGCAATCTCGGCTCCCTGCAACCTCCACTTCCCAGGTTAAAGTGATTCTCCTGCCTCAGCCTCCCAAGTAGCTGGGACTACAGGCATGCACTACCACACCCAAATAATTTTTGTATTTTTAGTACAGACGGGGTTTCACCATGTTGACTAGGCTGGTCTTGAACTCCTGACCTCAGGTGATCCGTCTGCCTTGGCCTCCCAAAGTGCGGGGATTATAGGCATGATCTGCACCCGCCGAAAAATTTTTTTGTAATATACTTCTTCACATACTACTAAAAAATATCATGTATTTAAAGTTCTGTCATTAAAAACTTAAAACTCTCCTAACAAGTTCTTCTAAAAGAAATGTTCCCAAAACTAGATGGGTGTGGTGGCTCACACGCCTGTAGTCCCAGAACTTTGGAAGACTGAGATGGGCAGATTGCTTGAGCCCAGGAGTTAGAGACCAGCCTGGGCAATATGGCGAGATCCCATTTCAAAAAAAAAAAATAAATGTTCCCAAAACTTTTTTTGTTCCCCCTTGGAGACAAGGTATTGCCCAATCATGGCTCACTGCAGCCTCCACCTCCTGGGTTCAAGCAATCTTCCGCCCACCTCAGCCTCCTGAGTAGCTGGGACTATAGGCATGCACCACCACATTCAGCTAGTTTGATTTTTTTTGTTTTGTTTTGTTTTTTGTAGAGACGGGTTCTCCCTCTGTTGCCCAGGCTGGTCTCAAGCTCCGGAGCTCAAGTGATCCTCTTGCCCCAGCATCCCAAAATATTGAGACTATAGCTGTGAGGCACCACGCTCAGCCTGCCCAAAATTTCTGGTAATGAAGTCTAAGACTACACAGTCTCCAAAACATTAAAGAGGAGACATGACTAGAGAAGGAAGGAAAGTGCAGGAAAGGGAGAAAATAGGGATCCTCCCAAAGTATTTACAACTTTGTGCTAACTTGAACACATTTCTTTCTGGGCTATCCTCAACCCTGGCTACTCAACAGAATTGCCTTTTGAGGTGCTTTAGAATGGATGCTCGGGCTACAACCCTAATCTACCAAACAAGAAACTTCACAGAAATAGGACCAGGGACCTTTTTTTTTTTTTTTTAAGTTTCTCTAGTGGATAACGCATGGCCTTTCAGGCTGAGAACTATGAAACAGGCAGGCTACTAGTTAGGATTAATAATTTTAAAAAAAATACCTTGATCTGCTGTCTTCGTAGCATGGCAAGTTCTCTCATGTCTCGGAATGGCTGTAGTAAATACTGATAGAGTTCAGTTGTAGCTTCTGCAAGGCTGCTGTAGGCTTCATCCTCCATCTGATACAAGTCCAGAAGCTCCACCATGCTCTCTGTATTCTTGTGCTTATCCAAGAGCTGTGGAACAAGACAGTTTCACAACAACTAAGAAAATCAATTCTAGTAACCTATAAATACTTGCTCTGAATTCTCCCTATTATGTCAGGGCCTCGGAACCCTAAAACACAGAAGCAAGAGGGAACGAAAAGCACTGACTGCTTTTCATCACTATCTCCATACTTCAGGTGTCTCACTACTCAAGACCACTGCCTGAATATTTCTTTTGAGGCTCAAAGTATTGAGCTCAGTCTTAACTCTTCCATTTTTTTATTTTCCTTTTTTTGTTTTTTGAGACAGGATTTTACTCCTGTCAACCAGGCTGGAGTACAATGGTGCGATCTCAGCTCACTGCAACCTCCACCTCCTAGGCTCAAGTGATTCTCCTGCATTAGCCTCCCAAGTAACTGGGACTACAGGCGCACACCACCACACCTGGCTAGTTTTTGTATTTTTTTTTTTCTTTTGTAGAGCCTGGGCACCATGTTGCCCAGGCTGGTCTCAAACTCCTTGGCTCAAGAGATCCACCCGCCTCGGCCTCCCAAAGTGCTGGGATTAAAGGTGTGAGCCACTGTACCCAGCCCCAAAATGTTTCTACTATCTAGTAGAATGAAAATCATCCGAATATGGAACATTTCCAATAAATTTCTTTAATTTCTACCTGTCACCTCCTTCAAAATCATGTCAGGCACTGGCCTAGGAGCTGGACATACAAAAACATGGTCCTGGTCCTCAGAGCTTATAGTGTAGTGAATAAACAGAAAATAATTTTTAAATAATTTAAATTTTATAAAAAATTATTCTTTTCCCAATGGTTCTTTTAGAGACAAAGAATTCCAAACTGTGATAAACATTATTAAAACTATAAATAAAAGTTTTATAAAAGAATGAGGCCAGGTGCAGTGGCTCATGCCTGTAATCCCAACACTTTGGGAGGCCAAGGTAAGAGGATTGCTTGAGGCCAAGAGTTTGAGACAGGCCTGGGCAATGTAGTGAGACCTTGTATGTATGTATAATTGGCTGGGCATGGTGGCTCATGCCTGTAATCCCACGGCCAAGGAGGGTAGATCACAAGGTCAAGTAATCTAAATGATCCTGGCCAACGTGGTGAAACCCCATCTCTACTAAAAATACAAAAACTAGCTGGGCATAGTGGCATGCGCCTGTAGTACCAGCTACTCGGGAGGCTGAGGCAGGAGAATCAATTGAGGTGGAGGTTGCAGTGAGCCAAGACTGCGCCACTGCACTCCAGCCTGGCAACAGAGCAAGAGTCCATCTCAAAAAAAAACAATAATTTAATCTTAGGCATGATTTCTTGGGAGAAAAAATGTAAAAATTAGCTCATAGTCCCAGCTATGGGAGGCTGAGGCATGAGAATTGAGCCCAGAAGGACAGATCTGCAGTGAGCCGTGACTGTGCCACAGAACTGCAGCCTAGGTGACAAAATGAGACCTTGTCTCAAAAAAAAAAAGAAAAAACAAAACAAGCAGCAGCTAGGCACAGTGGCTCACGCCTGTACTCCCAGCACTTTGGGAGGCCGAGGCAGGCAGATCACTTGAGGTCAGGAGTTTGAGAGCAGCCTGGTCAACATGGTGAAACCCCATCTCTACTAAAATTACAAAAATCAGCTGGGCATGGTAGCACGCACCCATAATCCCAGCTCCTCGGGCGGCTGAGGCAGGAGAATCACTTGAACCGGTGAGGCGGAGGTTGCAGTGAGCCAAGATTGCGCCACTGCACTCCAGCCTGGGTGACAGAGTGAGACTCCATCTCAAAAGGCAAGTAAATAAATGAAAATAACAAATGAAAAGAACTAATACAGAAAGACATTAATTTACATATGCATACACGGACGCCATTTACCTGCTGGCAGTATCATCTCCCCAAAGGCACAAAATTCTTCTATTCCCTTTCATACCTATAGTTTGCACTACTATCTTTCTCCCCACTTATTTGCGTTTTAGCTTTGTATCAGTTCATACGTGTAACCACGCTGAAGAGACTTCAGACTCATTTCCTGTTCAGATTTTTGGCACAACATGTAGCAGCACTGTATCATTAACAATTATGATAAATCAGACAATCTACATTAAAGTGCTTTTATTACAAAAAAAAGTGTCAAACAAATATTAGCTATCATTCTGTTTTTTTAAGGCTGCTGTTAAAGCTAATATGGAGAATTTCGACTTGTCTAGTACTAGCTGAGCAGTTCTAT